AAGATGAGGCTGTGCCCGTGAAAGAGTGTCTTGGGCTGCACAGGCAGCCTGGACCCTGAAGCTCTATGCACCCCATCCCTACCCCAAGGAGACAGAGGAGCTGAGCTTTCCTCCCATCTTCAGGGTAAAGCTGCCAAAGTTGTTAGTACATTTGTAATTAGTGTGACCAGCACTGAGTGACTGTGCATGCAAATGACCCCAGCCCTGGACAAGGGTGGGTTTGAACACCATCCCCTTCTGCCACGGATGCGGAAGAAGGTCCTGTCCACATAGCCTGGTCCTGAGCTCATCTAGTAAGCTATTTCAGGCATTCTCTCAAGCCTCTATTCAGATGCCCCCATCATCCGCTTTAGCCTCTGAGATGATCTACCACCTCTCCCAGGTCCTGTTCAAAGGGACCAGACGCATCACTAAATAACCAGGACAGTGAAGAGTAGACCACCTGTGGGAGGGGCAAGCGTGGCTGAGGCTCCAGGGGTGGGGCAGAGAAACGGTCTGCAGGTCAAAACAGGTGTCATATTTCCGGGCATTCGGCTCCTCCCAGGGGCGCCACCAGCTAACTCTGGAGAGCCAGGCTCAGGCAGAACCACCCAATGCTTCTGCCACAAGGTCAAAGTCCTTCCTACTGTCCCGTGGGAGATCTTGACCAATTTAGAGGCAGGCGGGAGATGAGACAGATAGGAGGCTCCTAAGCTGATGGCATCAAAGACACTCAAGGTCCACGTGCCTTCTTCAGAAGCCGCTGCCCTTGTCCTGATGAAGTGAGGGGTTTGGGAAGAGAGGCGCGCTGCCTGGGGAGGCGGGACCACAGAAGGGATTACTCTCGTTCTTTAGTCTCCAGCAGGCCAGGCCATTCCCTGTATCTCCGATCACAGAGCATGGACTCCTCAGGTCCACAGGCCCTCAGTCTACCCCCCCCCACACACACACACACTCCATCCCTAGTGACCCTCCGCTGGACACCCCCACTTCCTGGCCCTGTTTAAGTGGAGGGACAGGTGCATTGACTCTGAGTACCTGTGACCCGCTGGACAGTTGTATGTCCTGTCTGCGACCGACCCCAGCTCTCTCCTAAGAAGTGTATACATGGCAGGATGCACCCGAGCCAGCCTCTGTGCTGATGCTATCAGCCTTACATTTGGGGGGGCCTGAAGACTGCAAAGTCCCTCTGCCAGAGGGCTTTTCCAGCCAAACGGTGGTGGGGAAGCGTATTTCAAAGCCGATCTGCAAGCAGGCGTATGGGAGGTATTTGTAGTTTGAGAGAGACTCTTAGGAGTGGAACCAGAGCATCAGGAAAGAAGTGGTTTGTTAGCACACAGGGAAGAGCCAGAGCAAAGAACATGCCACTGAAGAATGAGGAACTTCGATCAGACAATAGACACTTCTGAGAAGGAAATAAAGATATAGGGTAACCCCCAGTCACGTGTCCCTTAGGATGGCTGCAGAGCTGGGGTCAGTTCAAGGCTTGAGACAGTCATGCCCAGAGGCAGAAGTTAGGCTGAGTGACAGGTACATTTCTTCCAGCCTCAGGCCATCCTCTTTCAAATGGCAAACGATGACATCCTTTTCATCTGCCTACATGCTGGCATTTCTGGTTCTTCAGGGGACTGCTGGTCCTCATCTAGACCAAAATCCCCAGAGCTGTTGCTAACTTGGAGCATTCACAGGACAGATTTCACTCTCCTAGAAGAAAGTTCCTTTTTGTGGTTTGACAAGTCTTTGTACAAACTGAGTCCATGTTTCTTTGTCTACTAAATGAGGCACAACCAAAAGCAAAGGTATGCCATGTCTTCACCCCAAACCTGAGCATCATCCATCCTAGGACACACTAGAATATACCTCAATGTCCATCTCAACCATATGGTCCCCTTATGAACTGCAGAAGTCAACCCCCGCCCTGCTTACAGGCACCCATCCTGATTTGAAACCATAGGGTCTCCTCCAGAGGAAGCCTATACCATCTCAACATCTGTTAATCCCCAGGACTTTGAGGTTCCCCATATGCACAGGTTTTTGTTCTCTACCAGCTTGCAGAAAACCGTCTTGAGAGCTGGGGCATGGGATGGGAATAAGGAGTCTCCTCTCAGTAAAGGGAGTAGGCATGCAAAAATTGGCCCGCTAACGCATGAGGTTCTCTTCTTCCAAATTTGGTCCTTTTGGAAACCACTTGAAACAATTGTTCATGCTCCTCCAGTTTCACAAAGGATCCTTCCAAGGACTGCGGGTAAAGAGCAGCAGAAGGAGGCTTGTCTTGCATATGGGAAGATCTGGGTTTGATGCCCAGGACTGTATAAAAAAAAAAAAAAAAGTGGAGTGTGAGATCCTTCTTCCAGGGCCCTTACTTGCTTTCTCACAGCACACACAGAGAAGGGCTAGCAGAGTGGGATGACTGAAGGTCTGGGATGACTGGACCCTCGTCCCACACTTCCTTCCAGGAAGACCTAAGTCACCCCACCCCCATCCCCATCCCTCTGGCCTCTTAACTCTGAAGGGTAGACTCAGAGTTACGAGTCTGTAGATTCCAGGCTGCAGACCAAGGGCCAGACTCCCTCACTTGGTATTGAAGGTTCAGCCAGCCCCCTGAGCCTGGGAATCCCAGGATCCCCATGGGACGAACCGGCTGCAAACACAAAGAGCCGTGCCTGCTCGGGAAAGAGACCTGAGGACTTCCACCTCTTCTCACTGGGAGCTGAAGGTCCCTATCCCATCCATTCCTCCCCAAGCACCTCTTTCCTTCAGGCCCTTCCCCTGCCCAGCGGCGCCTGGCCTGGCACACTGAGCAGCCCAGCAGCCTCCACACCTCTGCTTGGAGCCCCATCTTCCCAGCAGGCTGTAGTGACGGAGACCCTCCTGGACTTGGGTGGTCCTGCCAGATAGTGATCCCCATCCTAAGGAGATGATGAATGCTGAGCTCAGTCTCCCTCTGCCCTTGACAGGAGTTGGGCACATGAGAAAAAAAATCACTGACAGCACCACAGACCCACCCAGACCATGTTCCCTGAACATGTGGTGTTGGGTACAAGAATGCCAATGGGCTATCTTTGTGTCATCTGGGGTGATTGCTAGGGTTTGCCTCATTGCATCACACCCGTGGAATGTGAGGGCAAGGTTCTGTCGAGAGATGACAGGCATCTTTGCCATTAGCACGAGACCATGTCAGCAAGCCTGACTCACACAAGTGCAGTGTATGTGGATATCCTGGGGCACAAGGAGAGCTTGGTTATAAGATGCCATCTTTCCCAAGCATTGGCAGTGGCCCAGGTATGGCTCTGTCTTCACCATCATCCCCTTGAGGTGACCCTTCTTGTCCCCATTTTACAGAACAGAAACTGAGGGGTGAGAGATTGGTACTGAAGTCAAGAACTTGGGTTATACTAGGTAGGGATGCTAGGGTTCCTTAACTCAATAACCTGCCCTATAACTCCGGAGACACGCTAGGTTGACCCTAGATCTCTCTGTCTTCTACTGTGCTCCAGACCCTTCCTTCCCACCACACTGTATACACTACCACCACACCTCCTCCCCACCCTTATTTTTGAGACAGGGTTTCTCTGTGTAGTTTTGGTGCTCATCCTGGAACTCACTCTGTAGCCCAGGCTGGCCTCGAACTCACCGAGATCCGCCTGGCTCTGCCTCCCGAGTGCTGGGATTAAAGGCGTGCACCACCACCGCCCGGCCCACCCTTTAATTCTCTGATCTCCTTGACTGGAAAAGGGAAGAGTTGGGGCCAGAGCTGGGCATCCCAGGAGGCAGCGCTGGGCTATGTACTTTTTTTTTTTTTTTTTTTTCTGACTTAGCCAAGAAACTCTGTCATGCGCTGGAGTCTAGTTTATAGTCTGCTGTCCCCAAGCTGTCCTTACCCCACCCTTTCCTAGACGGGAAACTTCTAGTGTCTCTGAACCTCTCAATGGCCTATTCCGCCATGTTCCTCACAGAACCAACCCCTTGATGGTGACAGCCTGTGCCCGACTGTGACAGCCTGTGCCTGTACCCCTGCACCAGGGCAGCTGGCCTGGGCAAGGCTTGGCTGGCTCAGAGCTGGCAGGGCCAATCTGGGCCTGGCATAACTCCACTCCAGCCTCACCCTGACAAAAAGGTCCTCTCCATCCTGGGCCTTCTAGAACATGTCATCGGGCAGATGGGGTGGGAGATGACTGATCTCTCGACGTGGAAGTACGTCTCGCGGCTGCTCTCAGCTGGCCGGGGAGTGCCGTAAAGGGGGTGTCTCAGTTACTGCCTCCCGTGTGCTCAGAACAATGCCTGGCACATGGTCACTGAATACTGTAATGGGGTTGCATGTGGTAGCACATTCCTGTGATCCCAGCTATGCCAAGAGGCTTGTGGGTTCAAGGCATAGAGAAGACCTTGCTTCCCATCACCATGACACGTGTGCGTGCACATGCACGCACGCACGCACGCACGCTCAGCAAGAGAGCATCCTGGGAAAGTCAAGGGCAGGAAGTGGATACCAGGGGAGATGGAGGCAGGAGAAGGGGCTATCTAGAGCCATCCTCTCCCTCTCTCCCCACAGTAGACTGATAGAGGTCCAAATGGCACTGGGGTTTCACAGCTACTTGATAACCAGCAGAGGTGATACCTCATGTAGCCACAGAACCGCTCTGTAACGCTCACATAATCCCCATTTTGCTGATGGGAAAACTGAGACTCCATTGGGGGAATAACTTGTCTAAGCCCATAGAACTCTAAAAAGAGAGGTCGGGGGCTAGGGAGAGGACTCAGTGGTTAAGAGTGTGTACTGCTCTCAAGGGCTTGAGCTAGGTTCCCAGCATCCAGCTGCAGAGGGTTTGACATCCTCTTCCAGCATCTGTGGGCACCTACACTCACATGCACATACCCACACAAGTACTCATAATTTAAAATATAATCAATCTTTACAGGGCGAAAAAAAGGATGGGGTCTCATTACCAACTCCTGTCTACCAGTTTCCCAATCATCAGGTGGGTGGGTGGGCTCCAAACTGAGGCAGCGTCTCCCTGTTTTGAGGATAATACCCCACATTTGTGTGGCACCCAGAGGTGTACTTTGAGATTCCCTGTGACCCTGCTGATCTGGAGACCTCGGGGTGTGTGTGTGTGTGTGTGTGTGTGTGTGTGTGTGTGTGTGTGTGTGTACTTGTATGTGTGAGTGTGGGCATATGGACCATATGCCCTGGGCTGCCACACAAAGCACCAAAGACCTCCCAGCCTGGTCAGGTGTATACTGGGCTCCTGTATACACTGAGAGTGCCTGTGTGTCGTGTGTCCACCTGCTCCCGGAGGCATACGGCCACAGTGGTTCTCGATTAGTTGAGTGTGACACACAAGTGACACATATTATGTGCCAGACACTTTCCTGGGCACAGTGCTCTAAAGATGGACAGGGGACAAGGCTCTCCTCTCGGGTGACTGACAGTCTTCCACTGGAGACAGTCCCGCAGGCAGAAGCTGTGGATGGCCAAGGGCTGAAATCCATGTTCAGAAGACTGGTACATCTTGGGTGCCTCCAGGTGGGTGAGGTGTGAACAATGCCCTGCATCATGAGGACACCTTCCCTAGGGAGAAATGAATTTGGCCATTGGGGGAGACACTGTGGACGGTGGGGGGGATCTAGAGATGCCCACTGTCTGCACTCTACAGTACAGAACTAAGAGTAGCGAGATTGGGGGGTGGCCCAATGGGGCTTGACAACTGGACACACTTGCCAACACGAAGCAGAGACTATGAGGCTGGGGTCACACTGGGTGGCGTGCTTCTCCTCTTGACCCCCCACCCCTGCTCTTGAGACTGCTGGACATCCCTGCCACACACGCCCTGGCAGGCCCAGGACACTCTTCATCTTGACTTTGGGCGGCCGGAAGCAGGAAAGGTGGTAAGAGCCCAGGTGGAGGAGGGCTGGGGACTTCTTCTATGAGGGAAGGGGTTGTGAAGTGAGGCACATCCTGAGCCTTTAGTCATCTGCACAGTCCTCCTTCTCAGCCCACGGGGCAGCGGGCTGGACTGCTCTCTCAGGAAGCATCAGAGAGCCTGAGCTGAAGGACCTGGAAGAGAGCCATTTCACAGAGGACACAGATGCAGACCGCAGGGCTCCACCACCAGCTAGTGGGGAAAGCCTTGCCCTGGGCCTTCCGCAGGCAGCGAGGGGGGGGGGGGCAGGCTGGCAGAATCTGTAGCCAGGTGCCCGTGCCCTGGCCCTGCGGCAGCTCCGAGAGGAAAGAATGGGCTGTGATGACCAGGCTAACCCCAACACCTAGAAGGGAGCTCCTGGGAGTCCCTGTCCCCCAGAAGTCAGGAATTCTTCATGGGGAGGAGGAGATGGAGAGGTGACCTCGTTCCTGTCCTATCCTCTCCGATGAGGTCTTCATCTCCTCAGCTGTTGTTCTGCTGAGACCCGCCAAGGCTGATTGTGCCAAGTCTCTGCTTTCCCAGTGTAAGACAGAGGCTGAGCCATTAACCCACGTGGTGGGAGTGTGGCTGATGGGACCAGGGTCATGACCCCATGCAAAGCACCGAGATGCAGCACCTGGGCACCCCAGCCTGGGGCAGAGCTAAAAGTCATAAAGCTTCCCTTACTTTGAGAAAAACAGTCCTGGTTCAGAGACTGTGCAGCTCCAGAGGGGCTTAGGGGTCCCCACCCAGGCAGCTGTGGGAGAAGCGCAGGGAGAGAGTGGCCCTGATCCCTGGGCACCAGAGGAAGATGCCTTTGGCTCCCCACCCAGGCACATGCCACACTCTCTCAGGGCTCCTCCTGACACAGACGGATCACGAGTGCAGGCCAGCAGGCAGGTGGGTTCCTGCCTCCCAGTTAGCTCTGCTTCCACTTCCTGATCAGCACCTGCTGGATGGAGGGCGGGGCACTGAGCAGAACCAGACTCCCCGGAGAGGTGGGGGGTGGGGGCAATAGGAGGCACTCAGCCCTAGAAGAGCTCCTTCATAATAGCCAAGCCCCTCCTCTGGGACCCGAGGGAGATGAGCTCTTGTGCTCCACAGCACAGACAGGAAACCAAGTCACCAACCAGATGTGCTTGCAGCTGGGAGGGGCGCCGTGGCTCAGGGCCCTCATCCTCTGTCTCCTCAGGTATCTCGAAGCCTCCAGTTGATTCTCCTGGAGCTGGGCTGTGGCTCCTGTCCTCTGAACTCTGCCTCTGTCTGAAACACCCACCATGGGGACACCCGGCAGGAAAAAGCCATGCTTGCTGCTGCTGCTGGTGCTGGCCACAGTGGCCCTGGTCCCCTCTCCAGGTAAGAGCGCCTGATTATATGGTTAAGTCATTACTACCACTTAGGTGCCAATTCCTCTGCATTGCTGAGGCCATTTCCTTGCTAAATCCTTCCCATTTGTGCATCTTGCCTTACCTCTGAAGTTGGGAGGAAAGGTAATGGATCTTTATTATGCTGAAGATGAAGAGAAAATGATCCAGAGGAGCTGAGTAGCTTCCTCTGGGTCAGACATCACCAAGTGGCACAGCCAGATCTCCATGCTAATCACTGGAGCCGTGACCTCCAGAACCACACTGCCCTGTGTGGTAGGCATCACCAAGTGTGACCCCTGGACTAACATGTGATTCAGATGAAAAAAACAATGCCCTCAGCTGTACTTGCCACATGTCAAGTGCTCAGTAGCCACCTTGGACACCCCAGGCCACGGGACACCTCCATCATATCCAGAAATGTTTCCTGCAGAATGCTCCAGGGTCCTGGACCCAAGGGGATAACAGGTACCCCAAACCATGCTGAAGGGCTTTCTTGAGGCAACCTGGGTGCGAGGGGCAGAAAAAGACCAGAGGAGGCAGAGCAGGGTTGCTGACGGAGGGTCCCATCTCCGTGGTACTCTCTCTAGGCTCGGCTCAGATGGGAAGCAGCTGGCAGAAAGCAGAGAAGGGATCGAGGAGAGCTGGAGTTCCTGTCCTGGAGCTGGGCATCTCCAGGGCCTGTGCTGAGAGGCCGGCTGGCTACTGTTTGGCTGGGCCTGAACCCCAAACTCAAATCAACAGGGGGGTTCTTTTTCCCCAAAGAGCTACGGGGGAGAAGGGGCACTCGGCCCGCAGTCCTGGAGTTTAGACCCTCCCTTTCACTCACAAGATACAGCGTGCTCTTTAGATCTTCATCTCGGCTGGCATGCCCAGAAGCTCTCACCGGGTCCTTGCTGCTGTGATCCACCCTGCACCCAGCTTGATGGGGGTGCTGAGGGGTCGGGCTAACTCCAAGACCCTGGGCCTAGCTATCTACCCACAGGGTCCTCCAGACTGGGGGAACTGCCAGGGTGGGACGCTCTCACTTTACCGAGCAAGAGATTCCCACCGAGAGAGGACAGAGGAGAAGACCCTCCGTACCCCCTCCCTTGGGGACAACTTCTTTTGGAAGCAAGAGGTGTGAGCACCGCTCAGGGTACCCTGATCTAAATGGGTCAGAAGGCAATTGCCAAAGAGCCAGGGCCTGGGCTGCCACCTCCTCCCACGTGTGGCCCGATTGTAGATAGACTCCTTACTGAGACCTGGGAAGTGCTTCTCTGCTCTTGGCTTGCTCACCTGATCCTAGAGTAGAGCTCTGGACCACTCACAACCCAGGGCAAGGAGAGGCGCTGCATCTTCCTTCACATAGCATCTCTCTGGCTCCTTTCTTCTACTGCAACAGTTCTTATGTCTTTTCTGGGGAAAACAGTAACTGGGGACAGAGAATAAGGGCATGTGGGACAGGGGCAGCCTTGGCCCAGGAGTCCTGTGTGCATGTGTGGGACAGCATAGACAGGTAAGTCTGTAGCTATGGAGGAAGTGTGGGCCATGTGAGGTCGTCTGTGGACCAGATGCTGTGGGGTGTGGGTGTGAGTGAGGCACAGCCTGTACCTTGATGCCCCTCAACTCCAGCCCCTTTCGGAAGCATTTTTTATACTCTAGATTTCTGGGTTTCCTTCCCAGAACTTCTGATTTCAGGCCTCTGGGGGTGGAATCAGGGCCTCGGATGGTTCCAAAACCTGAAGTCAGAAATCGTGGCCACTGTGGTTAAAAATGCTGGCTGCACGATGCGGCTGGCGAGGGCAGATCTCCTCCTTTGCTTTGAGGTGGGTCGAGTTATTAAACCTTCCTAAGTCCCAGTCCTTGTGGGTGAGAATCACCTCCCTTCTTAAGAGTGCTATGAGAAAGATTTTGGAGTACAGTTTCAGGCAACAGTAGGCAATTGGATCAACAGCACTGTTCTTATTATAACTTAATTATTACCAGTGAGTAGAGCTACTAATGAATACATAACGTGCATATACAATGAGCAAGCAGGGCTATTGGCTGTTCCTGCCTGGGGTAGCAGTGCGTATAGATGTGTATCTGGCCATTTGATTGGCTTAGCGAGACATCTGTATGTGAACATATGTGTGATGTGAGAACCTCGTTAGAACACGTACAGGTGAGACACAGAGGTGTGTACAGGGGTGTGAATAATGGGGTGAGTGTGAAGGTGTGCCCATGGCTGAGTGTAGAGGGCAAAGCTTTTTCGAGAAGAAAGACAGTCTTAAAGTACCGATGTGCCCAGGCCCCCACTCTGCCGCCCCCACCACCCAGACTGAGTTCCTGGAAGCTGCTATTGTATAAGGTGGTTCCCAGCAGCCCACCGCCTCCGCTGCCTCCGCAGCCCTCCTTCTCCTCCCTTCCGCCCTCCCCCTCTCCTCTCTCCAGGTGGTCCCAGCTGGGACAGGGTCCCTACCCCCCACCATCATCATTAACTCTGGATTAAGTTGGGCTTTCTGGGGGAGATGATGCAATTGCTGTCAGCCTGCACCTCTGAGGCCCCAGGCAGCAGCAAAGGACAGTGACAAGTATTTGGGGGCCGGGATGGGGGTGGGGGGAGGGGGAGGCAACAGGAACAGGACTCAAGGGAAGTCTTCAGCAGACCATTCTGGAAGTCTTGCCTCCTACCTCATCCCTCATTCAGAGGGCTGCTTAACAGATGCCCCTACTCCCAAGGGGCCAGAGCTGGGCCTCAGCTGCAGCAGAGGGGCCACGCTTGGAGTAGGGCTGGCAGCTGGATGTGCCCAGAATGAAGGCACTAATTGGTTAATGGAGTTCCCTCTTCCCCTCCCCCCCTCCCCACCCGACGAGGAAGGTCTGAAATCCACTGCGGGAGAGATAGGAGCCAATTAGGGGGCCTGGCTCCCACCTGATCCCACCGTGGCCGAGCCACCCCCCTGCTGTGCCGATGCAGGTGTGGACTGTCTACTGTCCGGCCCCTCAGCCTGCTGACCCTGTTCGGGGGAGATGGGACAATGGTGTGTGCAGAGCAAGGCGGTGGCCGAGACAGGGCTGGGAAAGGCCTAGGTGAAGTCCATTCGCTAAGCAGCGTCACCTGCCTGATTGGCCATGTGGCCACTGGGCCTTTTTTTTTTTTCTTTCCCCTGAGATGTGACACGGTTTTCCAAATGCCACCAGTTGACCTGCTACCACACACCCAACATCCGGCCTTCCGTCTCCCGCCACCCACTGTCCCCAGTCGGGTCTAACAGCTGGTTGATGAGCTTGCCGTCTGTGCCAGGCCCTCCCTGCTTTCTCCTGGGTAGATCCTGCCATGCACCCGGGAAGTGAATTCCTGCTCTTTTCACAGGAGAACACCAGATCAACCCATGGGGGGGTTTACTTGCCCAAGGCGGCCCAGCCCAGCTCCCCAAAATGGGCACTTTTCACTGGGCTACACTGCCCTAGAAGAGGGCTGGACTCCAGGTACACACACCCTTTTCTGCATTTCCTGCTGGTGATGTCTCTCGTGCCACCTCCCCTGTGTGAGGGCCCCTGAGAGCCTCACAGTATCTTGTCCCTGAAGCACTCTGTGGCACGCCACCCTGCCCTGTCTGCTCTCTGTTCCCTCCCCTGCACGGCAAGGTCCTTCAAGGGAAGGGACTGTGTGTCTGATTCATTTTCACAGCCCTGGGCCAGGTATACAGCAAGCGCTTAATATGTGACTGTAGGTAGGTTACTGACCATGCAAACATGGACTGGTGGGACTTGCGCAGGCTATTTACATTAATTAAAATTACATTTAAATTTTGGTTGCTAAGCCACCTTCCAAATCCTCAATTGCCACATGCGGGCCACCTACTGGGCAGTGCAGAAAATGAGGCATCTCCGTTAAGTTCTGCGGCACAGCACGCCCTTAACTTCGACGGTCTCAGACCTTGAGCCTCTCGTGGTACCCCCTGTTTGCAGGATGGAGTTTTGTCCAGGGAACCCCAGCCACCTTTGGACCTGTCTTTGAAGAGCAGCCTGTGGGCCTGCTATTCCCAGAGGAGTCCACGGAGGATCAGGTGACACTGGCCTGCCGTGCCCGAGCTAGCCCTCCAGCCACCTACAGGTGAGGTCCCCACCATAGGTGCCAGGAGGCCCTGGGCAACCATACAGGTTCTCCTCACATCAGCCCTACCCATGCAGGCCTGAGGTCCCCCTCTCCACCGTCACTCATTCCTGCTGTAGGTGGAAGATGAACGGCACGGACATGAACCTGGAACCCAGTTCCCGTCACCAACTGATGGGGGGCAACCTGGTCATCGCGAGCCCCACCAAGGCACAGGATGCTGGCGTCTACCAGTGCCTAGCCTCAAACCCAGTGGGCACTGTCGTCAGCAAAGAGGCTGTCCTCCGCTTCGGCTGTGAGATCCATGGGAGCCAAGATGTTGGGTGTGGGTAGATGGGGCCAGGAAAAGGTGCCCAGGAAGGACAGGTGGCAGCCTCAGGCTTTCCTGCCCCACAAATGGCATGCTAGAAACTGCTGCTTCCCCGTGGAGGAGGAGCTGGGGAGCCCCAGGCTTGAAGACAGTGCCTGAGCCCTGTTCTCCATCTCCAGTCCTGCAGGAATTCTCCAAGGAAGAGAGAGACCCTGTGAAAACCCACGAGGGCTGGGGGGTGATGCTGCCCTGTAACCCACCTGCCCACTACCCAGGTAAGTGGGGATCCTGGGCCATGGTAAGACTGGGAGGGAAGTGTAGCAGAAAGGACTTGTGGATGCTCGGAGAGGAAAGACAGGGCAGGAGGCGACTTCAAATGGCTCTGCTATTTCCAAGCTAGACCTGAGAGTGTGTCCCCAGTACCTAGCATCCTGAGGACAAAGCTGAAGCCATATCTTCCCTCTACATGCCCCACGCCCACCCCTGTTTAGAGCTGCAAATTCTCCTGAGAAGGCAGAGCATGCAGCCTGTCAGGGTCCCGCCCAGATTGCCCGTGAAACCAGCACGCCCTCGTTTCCTCAAACTTCCTTCCTTTCTAGGTTTGTCCTACCGCTGGCTCCTTAATGAGTTCCCCAACTTCATCCCAACGGACGGGCGTCACTTCGTGTCCCAGACCACAGGAAACCTATACATCGCCCGGACCAATGCCTCCGACCTGGGCAACTACTCTTGTCTGGCCACCAGCCACATGGACTTCTCCACCAAGAGTGTCTTTAGCAAGTTCGCGCAGCTCAACCTGGCTGCTGAAGGTCAGGATGGTGGGGCTGTAAGGAGGGGGCTGAAATAGGCTCTGGGAAAATGGACTACCCCCCAAACCCAAGAAGAGCAGCTCCGAGGGCATGGGGCCCTGCTGCCAGAGACCTAGGCACTGGTTGGGCAGCTGGTCTTCCCGGAGGGCCTTGCCCAGGCCCCCAGGAGGAAAGGGAATGTTTAAAGATTCAAAACATTTGTGTTTGGACGTTTGTGGACTTTGGAAGGCACAAGGCCCCTGAACACAAAGCACCTCCCTGGAGGCCTTTGTGTGTCATTTACATGTCTCTCTCCCCAGATCCCCGGCTCTTTGCTCCCAGCATCAAAGCCAGGTTCCCCCCAGAGACCTATGCATTGGTCGGGCAGCAGGTCACCCTGGAGTGCTTTGCCTTTGGGAAGTAAGTACCATAGGAGGGCCGAGAGTATCCTGGGACTGGGCAGTTTCATTTCAAAGCCCCTCAGGAGCAGGAGGGATCCCAGGATGAGAGAGGGCAAAGTCTGTAGGCTAGCAGGGTGCTGGGCACCCAACAGGCACCACCCACCACCAAAGGAAACCACTTCTGCCAGGAGGACATTATATATGAGGGCTTTATAGGCACGAGCAAATCACATGGTCCTCCCAACAGTAAATGTGGTCTGAGGAGCACCCAGGCCTAGAGGCAGGAAGCACAGTGTGCAGACCCCATCCTGCCGGTTCAAAGCCCAGCTTCACCACTTGCTGGCTCGGAGACCTCTGGCAAACTACACTATCTCAGTCTGGGCTCTCTGACTGGTGGGTGGTCATGGTAACAGTGCCTTCCCTGTAAGACTGTTAGAAAGATTAGATGAGTTAATGGATACCAGGCCTTGAGAATGATGCTTGGCATTTAACAAGAGCCGCATGAATGTTACATTAGGTCTTTTAAAAACGGAAAGCTTTTCTTGCTCTCCCAGAAAAAAAAAAAAAAGGTTCATTACATCAGGGTTCCTTAACCACTGCTATGTGGGAAGTTATTGGGCCTCCAGAAAAAGGTGTGTAAGGAGCATTTGGCAGGGTAGTATGTTGACCCCTCTGGAGTCAGTGGTTCCCTAGCCCATTTTAGTATACAAATTACTAATAACCAAAGTGCCTTGGGAAAGTGGGGTGGTGTGAAAGGGGGCCTGTAAAGACCCCCAGCTCACAGGCCCCTGTTGGCCACTGGGGTGAGAGGGCAAGCTGGCTTCAGAGTACAGACCACATGGGAAACCAGTGGCATTGGCTTCACCGCTGTGGCTGGGGACGGGGGCCTGTGACAGGGGAGCCCTCTTCTTGTCTCTTCCCTGCCTATGTTCCTAGTCTTGTCTGTGCCCTCTTTCCCTCTGCCCCTCCCCCGAAAAAGAGTCCCCTTCGCCCTGTCCGGCACTTCAGGAGGGCCCGTGAGTATAGAGAGGCTCTGTGGACACGTGAGGAGCATGCCCAGCTCGGCTCACCCCCTCTGGCTCTTTCTCCCCCCACCCCCACCCCCCAGCCCCGTTCCCAGGATCAAGTGGCGCAAAGTGGATGGCTCTTTGTCCCCTCAGTGGGCCACCGCGGAACCCACCCTGCAGATCCCCAGCGTGAGCTTTGAAGATGAGGGCACCTATGAATGTGAGGCAGAGAATTCCAAGGGCCGGGACACCGTCCAGGGACGCATCATTGTGCAGGGTACAGAGCTGGGGACATCCCCCCTTCTCCTTGAGGAAACAGCATGAAAATCAAAGAGACCGGGAAGGCCTCTGGCTCGAGCCTTCTGGCCCTTGCCGGGACTACTAAGCATAGTTGCAGAGGCCATCTCGGAGCTCGGCGGAGACATACAGAAAGCACGCAGCCCTTTCAAGTGATTTAGTTGCTAAAGCAGTCACGGGCGCAACCATGGAGTGCCAGCTTTCTTCTGCCCCCACTTCTTTGTCTCGCCGTCCCAGAACACCAACAGCGCCCCCTACCGTCACTTACAAATACTGCAACCTTATAATTCCCTATTTAACGAGCCTAACAAGGCTCCTCCCAGCCAGTCCAGGTTTTTTTTCTCTCTTACTTCCCCACAGCCCAGCCTGAGTGGCTCAAGGTGATCTCAGACACAGAAGCCGACATTGGCTCTAACTTGCGTTGGGCCTGTGCAGCGGCGGGCAAGCCTCGGCCCATGGTGCGCTGGCTGAGAAACGGGGAGCCTCTGGCCTCCCAGGTAGGGGAACTCCGAGGCTTCCTCCCACGTGAGCATCCTCTGTTGCTGACCCTGTTACCCTGATGGGCCAACCTGGAGGTCTTGGGATGTTCTGTTGCTTCTTCCCATGCCAGAGTCACATGGTCACGGGTCTTAGAGATCTGGGATCCTAAGTCTGACCTCCAGGAAGCCTAAGATACCAGGCAGCCCTGAACTCATGAACCCCCATCCTGATGTTGGCCTAGAGCCTCTGTGCGCGCACACACACACACACACACACACACACACACACACACACACACACACAGCCCCTTCCGTCCTCCAACAGTCCTGATCTCCCTGCCCTGCCTTGGCTCTTCTGCACAGAACCGGGTGGAGGTCTTGGCTGGGGACCTGCGATTCTCTAAGCTGAGCCTGGAGGACTCTGGCATGTACCAGTGTGTGGCAGAAAATAAGCATGGCACCATCTATGCCAGTGCTGAGCTGGCTGTGCAAGGTAAAGGACCCTGGGGCGGGGCAGGGCGGGGCGGGGGTGGGGTGGGGGAGGAACAACCCTGGAACATGCAGGTTGTGGCTGGGTTCGTCTGAGCTTTCCTTTCTCCAAACACGCACACACACACACACACACACACACACACACACACACATCTATAACTCCTCATGTCCATCTTACAGCAGAAAAAAAATCACAGCAAGCTCAAATGACTAATGTTTCCTTGGTCCCTGTCAAATGAAGGGCAGGCCTTTCACAGTCCACCCTTGACTCTCGTTTCCCCTCAGAGCAGTGTTCAAGGGGCAGTATGAAACATTTCTTAAATCAGGAAACTGAGGCAGAGAGTCAGGTGACTTGCCACAGGCCACAAAGCTGAAGGAGCTAGGTTAAATAAGGATCACTCGTCACTGCAGAGAGCATGCTTTGTCTAGCCGTGTCCTTGGAGAACTCTCAGTCTGGTATCTTGAAACTGGTGCTACTTAGCTGCTACTCTTCTTTAAATTTTATTTGTATGAACGCCTGTATTTGTATGTGTATCACATGCCCATAGAAGTCAGAAGAAAGTATTGATTTCCTGGAACGGGAGTTACAGACAGTTGTGAGCCACCATATGGGCACTGGGAATTGAACTTAGGTCCTCTGTGAGAGCAATCCATGCTCTTAACCACTGAGCCGTCTCTCCAGCCCCAAGACTCATTCTTTCTTTCATTCATTTACTCAACCAATACTTATTCAACATCTCCTGAGAAATAAACAAAAAAGATCACCTGCCTTCAGGTTCTGTACAATCCAACAGAGGGAGAGGAATAAATAACCAGGAAATTCATTCCAGATACTCTAAAAATGTGGTATAAGAAAATCCAGTAGAGCAGTGGTACTGAGGTGAGCCTGTTAGATGGGGTGGTCAGGGAAGACTCTCTGAGGAAGTCAACTGGACGTGACCTGAAGGAGCCAGCCTTGTAGAGATCTGGGGGGTTTTCAGGTAACATTAGGAAAACACAAAGATCCTGAAGCAAGAAAGGTGTGGTGACTTCAAAGGGTTAAAAAGGAAAGCTGAGCCGGGTGGCGGTGGCGCACGCCTTCAATCCTAGCACTCAGGAGGCAGAGGCAGGCGGATCTCTGTGAGTTCGAGGCCAGCCTGGTCTACAGAGCGAGTTCCAGAAAAGGTGCAAAGCTACACAGAGAAACCCTGTCTCGAAAAAAAAAAAAAAAAAAAGCTGAGGGTTGGGGGTGGGGTGGGGTGGAGAGATGGCTTGACAGTTAAGGACGCTGGCTGCTCTTGCAGAAGACCCGGGTTCCATTCCCAGTACCCACAACTCACAACTATCTGTAATCCAGTTCCAGAGAAGCTGACGCCCTCTTCTGGCCTCCTCAGGCACTGCATGAAGGTGTTGGCGCGCGCGCGTGCACACACACACACACACACACACATGCAGGCAAAACAGCTATACACATGAAGTGAAAAATTAATCTTTAAAGGGAAAAAGTGAAAGAAAGACAGGTGGTCGGAGCAGGCATGAGGGAGAGTGGGGGTGAGACGTAATGGTGAAGGGGTGGACTCGAGTTCTAGAGACGCTGCGGCCACTTGGTCTCCGGTGGCCCCTATTGTGCTTAGCACATGGCCAGGTGACATCTTCTTAGCGGGGTGGAGGGGCTGTGGCTATCACAGGGTGGGTGTGTAAGTAACTCCTCTCCTGCAGCCCTGGCCCCCGACTTCAGGCAGAACCCCGTGAGGCGGCTGATCCCCGCAGCCCGCGGGGGAGAGATCAGCATCCCTTGCCAGCCTCGTGCAGCCCCGAAGGCTACAATACTTTGGAGCAAGGGCACTGAGATTTTGGGGAACAGTACCAGGTGGGTTCTGTGTGCCAGCGCTGAGGTGGCTTCTTGGAGGCCAGTCCCCTTCCCGTAGCCACCAGTGTGTCTATCCTGGGTTGACTGGATCTTTTGTGTCCTTGCTGCAGAGTGACTGTCACTTCAGATGGCACCTTGATTATCAGGAACATCAGTCGATCGGATGAAGGCAAATACACCTGCTTTGCTGAGAATTTCATGGGCAAAGCTAACAGTACCGGGATCCTGTCCGTGCGCGGTAAGGACTGTGTTCTGTTCAGACCCGGGGTCAGCAGCTGGGTTGCTGTTCTGTCAGCCTGCCTGCTCCTGGCACCATATACTTCTGCTTCCAAGGCTACCTCAGAACTTAGTGTCTCTTGGGACCACCCCTGGCCAGCCTCCAGAATCTGGCTGCTCATGAATTTTCTTCTTGGGGTACAGGAAGGAGCCTCTCCCTCGCCTGGGACTTTTCCATCCTTTACACCAAAGAGCCTTGTTTTGTTGTGGCTGTTTTGCTTTGTAGATGCAACCAAGATCACTCTAGCTCCTTCGAGTGCTGACATCAACGTGGGTGATAACCTCACCCTGCAATGCCATGCCTCCCACGACCCCACCATGGACCTCACATTCACCTGGACCCTGGATGACTTTCCCATTGACTTCGATAAGCCTGGAGGTCACTACCGGAGGGCCAGTGTGGTAAGGTTGGGGGGGTCTTATAACTCTCCTTTCTTCCAGATAAGACAGGGGACCTGAGGTAGCCTCAGCAATCACCACCTTCAAGCCCTCCAAAGTTCTTGCTAACCCCCGAGGCGGTTCCCAGTAAGCCCATCCTAGGACTGACAGCCACCTTTCTTAAATCCACCCAGTGCCCATTCTAAGTTAGAATCAAGCTTTAGCATCCTGAGTGCCCCAGAAGGTCCTTTCGGCTACTGTCCCTCTTCCCAGTGCAAATGCCCTCATTAACTTGGTCCATGCACACTGCCTTGTGTGACACACTTTGTTGTCAAGTGGCACCAAGTAGATCCTTCCCCTTGAACAGATCAGGAAACCGGGGCACAGAGGGCATAGATGTCATGCAGCCAGAGAAACGGGTTCTGTATATACTAATCAGGGCTTCTTCCTGACTCATCACACCTTACTGTTCCCTGTGCACAGAAGGAAACTATTGGGGACCTGACTATCCTGAACGCCCAGCTCTGTCATGGAGGGAAGTACTCGTGCATGGCCCAGACAGTGGTGGACGGTGCATCCAAGGAGGCCACAGTCCTGGTCCGAGGTGATGGGAGTCAGCCACCCCAGTTCCCCGAGAGGCTCTAGGCTGCTTGACATCCCCCATCTCCCTTCCCTCCCTGCAGGCTGACAGAAGCCACAGAGATGGACACGTCTGTTGAGTTCCTATGTGGTTCTTCGTAGGTCCTAGATGAGTAGAATGTTCCTTCTGAAGCCATACTCAAGAGAGACAATATCCCCCAAATACCCCCCAAGACTCTGCTGAGCCCGAGTTCCAGATTCAGTGCTGGGAAATCTATACAACCCCTTAGGGACAGCCTCTGTGAGCCTCCAAGGCTGAGACATATCACTACCCACTGATCTACCCTGTCCCTATCCTTTGGCTTCCCACCCGGTCTTTCCTGCCCTCTGAGGCTCCGTCTAGATATCGAGCCAGTCCAAGATGGGTCTGGAAAAAACCGACTCAAATCGGGAGCTGCCCACTTCTGATCCAGTGTACTCTGCTTCTTGGGACAGGTCCCCCAGGTCCCCCAGGGGGTGTGGTGGTGAGAGACATTGGAGACACCACCGTCCAGGTTAGCTGGAGTCGTGGCTTTGACAACCACAGCCCCATTGCCAAGTACACGCTGCAAGCTCGCACTCCGCCTGCCGGGAAGTGGAAGCAGGTTCGGACCAGTAAGTGTGAGGCCCCACCTGGGTCAGTACTGATAAAGCCCCCACTGTGTGCACAGCTGGAGACAGGGTCAGGGGGTCAACAGCTGAGTGGAAGGCTTCAAAGAGAATTAAATGTTGCTCTCTCTCTCTCCAGGGAGCACCTAGGCAGGCAGGGAAGCAGTCATAGCCAGCAGGAAAATAAGGAGAGGACCGGAGGAGGCACTTGTGCCTTTGAAGCCTTCAAAGGACTGTTGCTGGAGATTGCCAGCATGCTCGATGTGTGTGGAGTGAGGGGCACATAGCATTGGCAAAGGCCCTGAGGCATCAGAGCTCAGGAGCTTTTCAGTCAGAGTAACTGAAGGCTTAGTGTATCGTGGTACCATGATGAGGGTAGGATACAAAGATCACACAGGCCCAGAAGAACCTGCCCTCATCCCAGCAATAAATGGGTGCTAGCCACTGACCCCTAGGGCCTTGCAGATCCTGTGAACATCGAGGGCAATGCCGAGACTGCCCAGGTTCTGGGCCTCATGCCTTGGATGGACTATGAGTTTCGAGTTTCAGCCAGCAACATCTTGGGCACTGGGGAGCCCAGCGGACCATCCAGCCGAATCCGGACCAAGGAAGCAGGTGAGTTTCTGGGGTTCTCAAGGAAACTCTCTCAGCAAAGGGTGCCCTAGCGGGAGCTGGAACAAAGCCCCAATTCGCTTACCAGTCCTGGACTCCGATGTGAAGTGAGAGGCGAGGCTGCTGCATGGACAAACTGCCCGATCCAAACCCCTTGCTGAAACACGGTCTGCTCTGTAGTCATGTTTCAGCTTCCCGCTGATTTGAACAAGGTCAGAAAGGTCACCTGGGGAGAGCCTGATCTTGAACCTAGGACAAGAACCTTGAGCCATTTTTAAATGTACACCACCTGCAGAAATCAGCTAATGAGGAAGGTGTCTTGTGAGCACGTGTACTCTTCTGTGGGCGTGTACCCACATGTGCTGTGTAGGGAGCTAGAGAAGCAGCCAGACGCCAGGCCCTTTTTAGCTGCTATCTGTGGAGTGGAAGGGATGATAATCTGTCTGGGACCCTCAGTGAAAGTGCATGTGTGTTAGAGCCCAGATAGGGAAGGGTGTGAGGAAAGAACCAGGAAGGGAGACGGACATGGGCTGCATCTGCCCAGTTACCTGCTACACTCCCACCATTCCCAGGGGAGGCCTTGGGATCACAAGATAGCATCATGGTCAGGACCCTGTTCCCCTCCTTCCATCTGGCCAGACCTGTGCTTGTGTATGGTGGAGGGTCTATCTCCATGTATCCCTTAAACATGCTCTCCTACCTGCTCCAGGCTGGCTCTCCATGCTCTGGAAGCACTCAACGCTTTTATCCGCCATCTGTCTAGAGTAGGAGATTCTAGAGGGCATGCTTTCTGACTGAACTTCTTGGGGATGTGGGGTGAGAGAGTCTCTTTGATTCTGGCATCTCAGAAACGGACGAATGCAGGACAATGCAAAGGGACAAGAATGATCCTTAAGATCCTAAGAGTGGAGATCACAGTCTGGCTGGGCTGTGCCTTAGCTGTATGAACTTGGACAAGTTGCTTAACTGCTGTGGACCTCAGGCTTTCTGTCTTGGAAATGCATTCCTCAGAGGGTCAAATGCAAAGCTACATAATCACCGTGTAGAGGCCTCTGCACACTGGGTGCTCTGCAGAGATACTTAGGACCCAGCCCTCTGAGCTGATGGAGGCATCCTTGTGCTCATCTCTAATATGAAAGATGGGGAGATTAAATCTACCACGAGAGAGAGAGACAGAGACAGAGAGAGAGAGAGAGAGAGAGAGAGAGAGAGAGAGAGAGAGAGAGAGAGAGAGAACAGTAATAAAATACTTTGGAGTTTCCCCTAACAAAACTGGTTGGGTTTTGTTGTTTGCATTAACTGTAGTTCCAAGTCCTTTATCCCCGTCAACTTAAGCAAGCTGGAGTTGGTCTCCGGTTTAGCAAAGCCAACAGGGCTGAGGGTGACATACAAGAGTAGCCACCACATGGTGACTGGCCACTCGTTTAAATTCTTCTCATTTCAACCTTGACAGAGACACTGTCATCATCGTATGGAGAGGAGAAAGGTTAAGTAGCTTGCCCAAGAAAGCACAGCAAAGATGGGAATTGTTCTCAGGCTCGCCTGACTCTGAACCCATGCCTGATAGGACTATGGGAAGACAAATAGTGATGTCCCATCTAAGATGCTCTCCAGGCCACCGGCTGGGGGCTTTCTCCCCTAACCGCCCACTCACATGACACATCTGTGTTCCTTGGCCCTAACAGTCCCCTCGGTGGCACCATCAGGACTCAGCGGAGGGGGTGGAGCCCCTGGCGAGCTCACCATCAACTGGACTGTAAGTGGGCGGAGACAGAGACGCAGGCAGGTGTCTCGCCTCTCAGGAGTTATGCCCCGTCCCCCCTACCTAGTTCGTCCCCAGACACAGTGGCAGCAAACCGAAAGGACCGCTGAAGTCTCACTTGGAAGCAGGCAGCATCCTCCCCCCCCCCCTTCTCCCCATGCACCTGTAGCCTCTCACTAAACCCTTGAGAAGGCACAAGCATCCCAGGGCCACTCCTCCTCCGGGTGAAGACTGGGCGGAGCCACATGGATGGGCAGGGACATGTACCCTCGACCCCCTGGCCCATACCATGCTCTTGCCCTTAGCCCATGTCACGGGAGTACCAGAATGGAGATGGCTTCGGCTACCTGCTGTCCTTCCGCAGGCAAGGCAGCTCCAGTTGGCAGACTGCCCGAGTGCCTGGGGCTGATGCCCAGTACTTCGTCTACAGCAACGACAGCATCCATCCCTACACGCCCTTTGAGGTCAAGATCCGAAGCTACAATCGCCGGGGGGATGGGCCGGAGAGCCTCACTGCACTAGTGTACTCAGCAGAGGAAGGTGGGCTGGTGGGCCCGGGGCCTGGCCCACCTTGACTGCCCGGCCCAGGGAAGGAGAAGGGATGCCCTACGGGAGGAGAAGCAAGCGTAGGGTATGCTTGGAGTCCCCCGGGCTTCGCCCTGAGCACTGATCTTCGTCGGGGGGCCCTGGGATCCCCCACATCCTAAGCAGATGCAGTCCTAGTCAGGGCCACTTTGTGGGACACCAAGGTGTCTCGGGAATGTATGCCCATTCTCTATCGGTCCCCAGAGCCCAGGGTGGCCCCTGCCAAGGTCTGGGCCAAGGGGTCCTCATCCTCAGAGATGAATGTGAGCTGGGAGCCCGTGCAACAAGACACAAATGGCATTCTCCTGGGGTATGAGGTGAGCATCCTCAACGGGGGCTGCAAAGAGGCAAGGCTGGGCATTCCAGAGGAGGTGGGAACATCTGGCAGCTCACTAGTCATTCCTCCTGGGATCCCTAACTCCTCACCACGAGGATCATCTCCCCACTAGCCACCTACTTCCTCCTTCATCCCATATATTGGACACCTCCCTTGGACTAGACACTGTTGCGTACCCACAGATGCAGGGGCTTGTAGCCACGTGACCCTGCTTGCAGATGATCGAACTAGAGTTTACCACAGGATCAGCCTGGGGGGGGGGGAAGCATGGGGACTGGGTAGCCAAAAGCTTTGCCATACACTTTAGCATATCTTGCCCCTCTTAGATTCGCTACTGGAAAGCCGGAGACAAAGAAGCAGCCGCTGACCGAGTGAGGACCGCGGGGCTAGACACCAGTGCCCGAGTCACTGGCTTGAACCCCAACACCAAGTACCACGTGACTGTGAGGGCTTACAACCGGGCCGGTACTGGACCAGCTAGCCCGTCAGCCGATGCCATGACCATGAAGCCCCGTGAGTGTCTGCCAGGGATAAGGGAAGGCATGGGTCATGGGGTAGGGACTTGCAGGGCCTTTGTTTATCTAGTAAGACACTCACTATTCCCGCCACATGGTCTGCCCCAGGCAGACGCAGGTCAGAGGACCTCCTGAAATATGGCAGTGGAGACATAGCTCCTGAGACATCTCTCCCTTTTTCATCTTCTGGATTTTCATGGTGACAGACGGTTCTGAGAATTCCTGCTATATGGGCAGGCACCGGGAAGGGGCCGGCTGGTGGTAAGGGGTGGACATGGAAGCATATGGCGGTGTCTCACGTCTCCCCTCCCCCGGCAGCACCACGGCGACCTCCTGGCAACATCTCCTGGACTTTCTCAAGCTCCAGCCTCAACCTTAAGTGGGACCCTGTGGTGCCTCTCCGAAACGAATCCACAGTCACCGGCTACAAGGTGAGAAAGGAACACAGGTCTGCCATCGGGAGAAACTGCTCCCCTCTCCCCAGTGGTCACAGAGACCCGCAGTCCCTAGCAAGACGGATCTGAGAAACTGGAGCGTGGCATTTGGGGCTGGGAGAGACATGAAGCCCAGGGGCTCCGGGTAGAGGCTATAAAAATAGGTACATGGTTCAGCTGCAGAACGGGAAGGGCGTGATGGGCTAGGAGTCCGACGTGAGTTTTTAGCTCCGTGCCCACTTGCCTCCCACCAATGAGAAGCCCGGACAATGGGAAATTGAAGGAAGCAAAAAAGGCAAAACCTCGAGGGTCCAGGAAGCTGTACCTGCAAACTTCTATCCCACAGATGCTGTATCAGAATGACTTACACCCAACTCCTACACTCCACCTCACCAGCAAGAACTGGATAGAAATCCCAGTGCCTGAAGACACTGGCTACGCCCTGGTACAGATTCGAACCACAGGGCCAGGAGGGGATGGGATCCCTGCAGAAGTCCACATCGTGAGAAATGGAGGTACTGCCTTTCCCCTCCCCCTCTCCACCCCTAGCAGCACTGGTCCCCAGATACTGGTGACGGGATTGTCCCCAGGAGCCAACTCTGACCTAGACCTCCAAGGAGAAAGGAGAAGTCAAGCAAGAAATGAATAGTTCCTATGTCATTGTCCCTCCCCCGCCCCAGAACCACCCCAGGGCGTGGAAGGAAAGTGCAACCTCTTTTATGGAAATGCAAGGGGCTGGAGACCAAGAGCAAAGGCCCTAGCCAGTGCCATAAGAGCAACGAGCAAGGTCAAGAGCACCAGCGGCGTTCAGCTCTTCCCCTCGGCGCACCCCTCAAGAGAGCTCTCAGCCGTGCTGCGAGGGTAAGGCTGGGTGGGTGGGGCTCCAGCCACACACTTTTCCCTGCTGGTTTCAGGCACAAGCATGATGGTGGAGAACGCAGCAGTCCGGCCCACCCATCCTGGCCCCATGTTCTCCTGTGTGGTGATTCTGATGCTCATCGGCTGCCAGAAGCTCTGATCTTACCACTGCCGGCCACACCCAAGCTGGATATCTACCCTAACGGACACAGCCGCTGGCCACAGCCCCCCTCCAGCGCCAAGGTGGCCCGACACTGTGCCTGAGGGTGGTTGGCTTAGGCACCTACTCCCAACAGTACCCTTTATGTAGGAGGTAGGATATTTCTATTCTGCCACAGGATGGAAACCACGCAAGGAATTTCTCTTTGAACCCGGAGGCACTGGGCAGTGAATTCCATGATAACGCTAGGCCCAAAGCCTAGACCCCTCGGGGTCCTGGACGGAAGGAACAGGTCTTTGGGCAGAAGGCGTTTAATGCACACCTTCAGATCAGAGCCCCAGGCCCAGCAGGAACCCAGGCGGCAGCGGGCCGAAAGCATGGGCTGTCAGTTTCTCTCTACGAGACAGAGGGGCCTCTTCCCATCCAGCTCAGCTGCTCCTAGCCTGGTCTCCCATGGCTCCTAGCCTGGTCTCCCATGGCTCCTAGCCTGGTCTCCCATGGCTCCCAGCCTGGTCTCCCATGGCTCCCTGGCAGTCCTTCCTGCTTGGTAGCCAAGAACCTCTGGGGAGCGGGGCTCAAGGGCCTGAGAGGCCACAGCACCTGATGGAAAGGGCACCGGCCCGGGCCCAAGGCCTGTTCACCAGGCAGGTGGCACTGCCCTCTCAGCCAACACTGCCAACCCAACCCTGTCGCCCTCCAGACTGAGTGACAGAGCGACAGAGCCACTCCACGCTAGGTGATTAAAGGGCTTGCCTTGAGGAGCTGCCTTGCCCCGTCGTCGAGACGCCTCCTTCGTGGCCCCTCCAGGGTATGGGCGGGAGATGCCCAGCTGAACGCCACTCTCTTCCCTTCAGCTCACTATAGACCAGTTGCTGCCTCCACCTCCCACAACTGCAGGCCCTGGAAACCAACCTTCAACACAGCGTCCATTCCCTCCCTGCCCTGGGATGGAAAGGCCTCTGAGAAGGGCCAGCATCAATGTGGCCCTGCCTGCTTCCAGGAATACCCGCCATTATCTGGCCACATCTGCTCCCCAAACTGCCTCGACGACTCTCTTGATTCCCCGGAAGAAAAGGGGGTTAATAAAGGGGGGCAGCCCACCTTGAGTTCGGGGTACATTACCAGTGACAGACCAGACTATCAGAACTGAAGAGGCCTTATATAGCTTGACTGACCCATACCCTGCACTTAACAGACGAGGAAATGGAGGTCCAGAGAGGGTTAGGGACTTCCTAGGGTCACATGGCCTGCAAGTGACAAGGCTTGGCCAAGCATCCGAGTCTTCCACCTGCCTGTGGGAAGCTCTACGGAGGAAGGAGGTATGGTACTGAGCTGTCACAGCCTGGTCATTAAGGTGGCTGAGGCCTCTGGAGGATGAGCCTTCTGCTTCAAGAGGTTCCGGCTGATGAGAAGATCGGCATGGATGTACCCAATCCAGGCAGATTCCAGGAGCCATCGGCCACAAGGCAGGTTTCTGCTGGGAACTCGGCAAGTGGCACTGGCTGGAAGCCGCTCAGGCCCTCATCTTTGCTCCAAGAAAAGAGGCCAAAGCAGGGACAGAGTTCCGAGACCAGGACCCTGAGGCAGCAGGACCAGGAAACCCCAGTGTCCACGCCCTAGGCCTCCAGGATCAGCAGGGCAGGCGCCTCGAGAAGTACCTGCCCTGCTGCTCCATGGCCCATCTCTGTAGTTTACAGTTAGAGCTCTATTTTGTTATGGTTTTTTAAACTTTAAGCCCTGCTCTGTTTTCCTGGGCAGGTTTCTGTTAGTATTTACCCACTACACTTTTTTAAAGATGTACCCTCGCACACCTCCCCCCTACCTCCCCCAAACCTCCCCCTGGCTAGGGACTGCTTTCCTGGAGCTGATCAAATCCCCTTCTCCTGTTCTCAGCACCTCACATACAAGGGTGCTAGAGGATCAGCCATGTGATCATTCTCCCTCACCGGGACCCCAAAGTTAGTCTAGCACCCCTCTCCACCCCATGCTGGCTGGGGCCTAGCCCTGGAAAGCCCCAGCTAGCCCTAGAAAGGGGCAACTGAAAGAAACCTTCCAAGGTTTACCAATTTCTCACTGCCTTGGGCTGCAGGAGGGGTGCTGGAGAAATGGGTATCTAGGGTGAGCTGGTTTGGCACTGGACCTAGCTGGGGAGGTGGGAGGCGGCAACCCCTAAGCATTTCTTCTAATAAGGTCCATGAAAAGCAGGCAAGCTGCTGGAGACCCCAGAAGAGGAAAACCTTAGCCCTGTGCAGGTAGAATTTGTTTGGGAGGATGTGGAGCTGTACCAGCAGCCCGAGGCTTCGAGTGGAGTGTTAGCTATGGTGTAGTAAGGCCACAGGTGACTCACCAGCACGGGAGCAAATGAACGGGACAGACTCCCGCTGGGGAAACTTGGCTTGGAAAAGAGGCCTAGATTAAATGGCTTCTCAGAGACCCTTCCTGGCCAAGCGTCCTCCTGACTTTTACAGGCTGGGGAAGCTGATGGGCCGGCTCCTGCTAGGGTCATGGCTGTTAGAGATTCCATCCATTCACTCTAAACCACACGAGGTAAAAGGGACAGCCATAAACAAGTTCTCTGGCTGGGCTTAGCGGGCAAGAGTGCCCTAAGGGCTAGGGACAGAGCTGCCTGCGGATAACTCTTGAGGGCCTGGGAGGTGCTCTCTGTTCTGCCCATACAAGGACTCAGGCCACCACTGAGCTATCTGTTCCTTGCCATCTGATGGTACAGAGGAGAGTGGTTTAATGTCCAGAGTAGCAGGTGACCCCAACAGTAGGGGAGCAGTGAGGCTACAGGGCAGGGATGAGAGTCTTAACAAAAAACAGAAGAGGATGAAGTCAAGGTCAGAAAAGCCTCACGCAATGAGGGAGGGGCTTCTTCTGAGTAAGCTTTGAGGAATTTGAGTGTTCTTTCAGGATCTTGGATGGGTGAAGTCCTGACTCGAGGGGCAGGGGGTGCCGAGTCCTGGAGCTGAGATCTCAAGAATCAAAATGCCTAACACAGGAAAGAAAGCCTTAGAGGTGCCACCTGCTCTGGTCCCTACAGCTTAGAAAAGCCATCGAAGGGAATGGTCCACCACAGAGCAGTCCTTACAAACCAGTGCCTTCCCCGTGGGCACTGCCTCTCTGCAGTCCCCAAAGCCATCCTCGCCTGTGCTCTGGCCAAGAGCTCAGTGTGGCTGGTGAGGCTCCTCTCCCCCATGCCTTTCCCAGCAACAGAGGCTCCTTTTCTTTTCCTAGTGTCCAAGAGCCAATAGGGCTCCTGTATGCCAGAGGAACAGCAGTCCTGGTACCTGCTACTAGTTCAAGTGTGGTGTTCTGTCTTGCTGAGACCAAACCTAGCGAGGGGACCTCCAGGTGGAATTAGGGGACCCTAAAGGACTTGAAGCAGCTCACTGGGAACAGTGCTGGCAGCTGGGGGTGGGGTGGTACCTCTTGACCCTGTACATTCATATGGTCACAGGCTTCGGGAAAGCAGGGCATTAAAGAAAGCCTGGAGAGGAACGGGATGGGTCGAGACAGCTCTGTCCAGAGCCCCGGGCAGCTTCAGAGGCCTACAGCCTGTAATTTCTTTAGAGGAGACTCAACCTGCCTCGGCACCGGATACCTCCAACTTAGCCCCCATTCCAGAACCTGCACAGCTCTGAACTTGGGGCTTCTTTGGATGACTGATGACAGTTCCTGTTCAAATGCAGCCCCTCCACCCCAGCCCACTGTCCTCACTCTTGTACTATTTATTGACTCTGGTAGCAAGCAGTTCTTAAATAAAGATGTTTTCTCAACCTGCCCAAGCAGCTGTGGTCCTCATCACCTCATTAAAGCATGCCTCCTAGGCCTGTTCTGCAACCAGGTCGTCCACCCATCACACGGCCAACTCTGAGGAAGCTGTACAGACTGCTTCCTCCAACCTGAGGGAAGACAGGCCAGGCGGCTTGCAGGCGGGCAACAGCAGAGCCCAACTGGCATTCGGCTAACCTGAGCAGGTTTTAACTAACTAACGGTGGTCAGCATACTGGGAGAAAAGAGCCCCTTCAGGTCCCCTGACTTCAATACATTGGAAGTGTTGACTCTCTTGTCCCAAAGGAAAGTCCCCTCCATGAGGAGATTAATGACCCCAACTGGTAAGGAGGCTACTGTTGCCTCCACTGTTTGATCAGGGTGGCCCAAAGAGGGGAGCTCCTAGTTTTCAGGTTTGACACTCACATGATGAACATATCCGACTTCCATTACACACAGGGACACACTCAGGCAGTCCTGGTTTGATTTTCAGTGTCAAGTGAGTAGGATGCCATGCAGTGTCCCAGTTTGAGGAAGTAAAGGAAGGAAATCAAGACCCCTCCACTCAGTGCTTAGCCTCCTGACCAGGGTCTTTACAGCACGACGGGTAGTCCACGCAGACTTTAGTCTTCTGTCAGCCTCTCCTTCACCTTCCCAGGGCAGTAGTGATATGCAAAGAATTTAGGGAACTGAATTGGTGTCGGGGGGGAGGGAGGGAGCTTGCTTTGCTGCTGAAACCAGAACTATGCAGATGCAAGCAGAATCTTGCTAAGTTGCCCAGACTGACCATGAACTTCCTGTGTAGCTTAGACTAGCCTTGAAATTGGAATTCTGCCTCCGTTTCCCCAAATAGCTAGGATTACATGAATATGCCACCATGCCCAGTTAGAACGAAGTTATTATCTTTACAAAACCCATGTGAAAGTCTTTTGTTCTCTTCTCAAATGCTTCAAATCCCAAGTCAAAATTCAATAGCCCAAGGCACACAGAGAAGGCAGGATGTGAACTGAGAGCTAGCCGCCTCATGCTTGACTGCCGGCCTGCAACAGGATGCTGGACAAGCATCAGTTCGGTCCTGTGTGGTTTCCATCTACAAGATGTGAGGCAGGACCCTTCAGCAGTGTGTTACCGAGTTCCTTTCTTTCTTTTTCTTTTTTCTTTTCTTTCTTCCTTCTTCCTTCTTCTTTCTTTCCTTCCTTCTTTACTTCCTTTCTTCTTTCTTCCTTTCTCTCTCTCTCTCTCTCTCTCTCTCTCTCTCTCTCTCTCTCTCTTTCTCTTTTTTTTTCAAGACAGGGCTTCTCTGTGTAGCTTTGGAGCCTGTCCTGGATCTCACTTTGTAAGCCAGGCTGGATTTGAACTCACAAAGATTCACCTGGCTCTGCCTCCCAAGTGCTGGGATTAAAGGCGTGCACCACCACCGCTATGTTTTAGGTTCTTATCACTCAGTCCAGGGCCTGTTACTGAGTTTCTTACAACAAAATCCTTCATGGTCCTCTTTAGAGTGAGCTTTCCTTGAATGTTTCAGCAAACAGCCTAGGACTGAATGGCATTTCCCAGACCCAGTACTTTATTTTACATAACAGCTTATCTCAAGTGATCCCTGGGCCCTCACAAACACCCGTGTCAAAGTTGAGACTGGCTTTGTCACATGGTTGACAACAGAACAGGGCCAGGACCAGGTCTTCTGAAACTCCTCCTTTCTGAGGTGACAGACAGGGGTGACACCAGCCTCCTGCTGTGACACAGTATGGATCCATGTAGGGCTCTTCTCAAAATGTTGAAGTCATTCCTCACGCAGCTAATCACAAGGACATGGTGAGTCCAGGCTGTGGGAGAGCATCTCAGACCACTGGAAAAGCCTGCCTCTTCAGAGCATCCCTGTCATGAGAAGCAACGTGAGGGACTAGCTAAGAGACCCAAGACACACACACTGAATGTGGCACACGAACCTTTGGTACTGGATTAAATTACACTAGAGAGCTTTAATGGTTTTGAAAATGAAAACTGAACAGAAGCCAGATGTAGGACTGGCAACTGTTGGTTTTCTTGGGTGTGATAAAGGCACTTGGCCATGCAGGAGAAAGCTCAGCTGGCCAAGGGATTGCTGCCGCCCAAGAATGAGGCTGGGAGGACAGAAAAAGTTGGGTATGGAGATGCACACACACTCATAATCCCAGCACTGGGGAGGCAGGGACAGGTGGAGCCCTATAGCTCAGGGGCCAGCTAGTCTTGACTCACCTGTGAGCCCTGTGTCTCAGCAAAAGACCCTGTCTCCAAAATGAACCAAACCAAACCCTAAAAACAAAGAAACAAAACCCCACAGTGGATGCCAACTGAGGAAAAACCAAGGTTGACGTCTGACCTCTATACCATGCACACACACACACACACACACACACACAGAGTCATGTTTCGGTCTAGTTTTCAAATGATTCCACAAAACCAATATACATTTAGGATTCTTATGAGGGAAGGGTAAGAACTGATGAATCTGGGCAGAGCATCTCCAGGTGGTGTGGTGGTTTGAAGGAGATGCCCCCATAAGCCTAGAGCATTTCAGTACTTGGTTCCAAGTTGGAGGCTGCTTGGGAAGGATAGGTGTGACCTGGATGGAGGAAGCATGGTACTAGGGGTAGACTTTAAGGCTTCTCTCTCTGCCTCCTTAAGATAGGAGCTCTCAGCTGCCAGCCAGCTACTTCTGCCATCACGGACTCTGTCCCCCTTGAACTTTAAACCCCAAATAAACTTTTTCTATAAGTTGCCGTTTTTTTTTTTTTTTTTTTTTTTTTTTGTGGTGTTTTTATCACAGCAACAGGGACGTAACTAACACAGGTGGTCACTAAACCTTGTAAAGTTAGAAGTAAACACTAGTCATCATCCTCTAGTCATGAGCTGAACTGAATTAGCATCCCTGGGCTGGGGTTCTGTCATGTGATTCTGGCAGAGCTACAGAAGAGGAGCGTGGCCTCAGGATTCTGCCACTCCTGCAGCTGGAGAAAAGTGAGGAGAAATGCTATCCTGCTTTCAGCTGGTGCCCAAGAGCCTTTTCCCCAAGGGTTCCATAAGCCAATTACCTCAGACTCTGTCTAAAATGACCCTGAAGGGCCTGAAGAGCGGATTTCCCAAGGGGAAGTGAAGTCAACCGTCCTCCCTTGGGGATCCTGGTGGCTGTAAGAAACCAGGACACTTGACCTTTCGAAGAGCACAAACCCCAGGTACAGACAGTGCCAAAGGAGCAGCAAGACAAGGACTGTGTGCAGTGCCCAGGAGCCTGGCTCTGCCAGGACATTCAATTTGATTCTGAGCTCAGAGGATCGCCTAGAGAGGACAGGGAGGGCAGACACTAAGACGGTCTGTCAGCCGAGTCAGGCGTCATGGCTCACCTTTACAACATACAGGCATACAGCCGACACAAAGCAGCCTGTCCAACGCATACGGAGGAAACTCAAGGAAAATGAAAAGCAGGCCACCTACAGGACCGTTTCTACATGGGAGAAATCTTACATAAAATAACAAAGGGTTGGGTTGCCATACAGTTACTGTGAATTATTTTTATTGAACAAAAATAAAAAGCTTCCGCCCGAACTGCTAATAGTACATTCTGGTCCATACACACTGTCCGGAGAGGTGGAGGGGAGGGGGTGGTACACACGCCGTGAAGCGTGGCAAGAAAAGCAAGCTCGGAAGACAGAACTTCCCTGGGAACAGAAGCAAAGCCTCCTGAGCACCCAGGATGAGAAAACCTGAACGCAGGGATGGATACCGCTCCCCTGAGCATCCTCCAAGCCTCCGAGCCAACCTTCGGCTTGCTCCGAGAGTCCCCTTACCACCCCACTAACAGAGGGACAGGACACTCACGTATGAGCGAGCTCGGCCTCCTGGGCAGGCAGCCTCCCAGGAGTAAGGGTTCCATTATAAGCTGCTAAGGCTGCTGTTACCATCAATCTCCCTCAGCACAATGCGGATAGCAATGCTCACCAGCACGCCACCGACCACTCCAGCAGCGATCCCTATGCCCACGGCTGATGCCACCTTCTTTTGCCACTTTGGGAGGTGAGGCTTCGAATGGTTGTCTAGATTAACCTCCCAGCCCTCATCTACTAACTTCTGGTCCTCGGTAAGGGACTGAAGGAAATTCAGGTTTACCAAGTCCGGAGGAAGGACCCTCAGCCCAAAATAGAGCCTCTTGACAAACTTCAAGTTCTTCAGCAGCTGCACATCACATCGGTATGTCCCAGAGTCATACTCATAGGCGGGTTTAAAGCGCAGAAAGTGAGAGTTGGCTCGGAAGGGTTTAAAAACCTCATCGTTAGTCGAGATGATGCCCCGAGCAAGCTTCCAGGTGAAGCGGAAAGCTTCCCGCCCCACCTCCAGGATGTCTGCGCTGAGACAGCTCAGCTCAAACTCCTCCCCATGGACAATAGTGAAATGGAGCATCCCACAGATCCAGTTGGTCAGACACTCCAGACGCTGGGACTTGCACTTCCTCCTCACCCCATCAGGGCCCACCTCACAGACGGTCTCTTCCTTGTAGCCAAGGCCACATGTAACGGTGCACGTTGTGGCATTGACAATGACTCTCCCCACAGCTTGCTGGATCCTCTCGGGGATGGCCAGTGTTTTAGGGGACGTCAACACCAAAGGCAGGCGGAGGATGGATGCCAGGCTCCCAAGGATAAAAACAGTGGTCCCAGTCTTCATGTCTCAGTAGGCGTTTTACCGGCAGGCACTCCAGACGGACAGATCCTCCAGCCCGGAAGAACCTTTAGCGTTGGGAGGTTCTGATGCACAGCTGTCAGCAGAACAGACACACGCACACGTGTGCCCAGAAGTGCAGTCCTTGTTCTCAGGTGAGGCCACAGGCAGGAAAAAAGACTTGGACTACTGATGTCGGACTAGGCTTGCCAGGGGCATCTTCACAGGGGCATTCTTGTCCCTTCTGCCTAATGGATTCAAACCCACAGGCTTGAGAACAAAAAAGGAAAAGACCTCAGAAGCTGAAGTCAATTTCTACATTACCCCAAATGCATGAGTTAACTCTTCCCCTCCCTCCAAACTACGGAAGAGTTTCAAAGTCCTATGCTAAATCTGACCAAATAGAAGAACTCGTCTTAAGAAAGGGGTGAGGTGGGGCTGGGTTGGGATGTTAATTTGAATACCTTGAATTCTTTACTGTAAATGTTCCTAACCTACATCTATTAAAAAGATAACTCTGGACTGGAGTCACTTGACTCCCCAAATTTCTCTTTTTCTTCCTTTGTAAGCCAAGATCTCCCTGTCCAGTTTCAGGAGGTCACTTTGAACACTGCACCTGAAAACACCTTTATCCAGTGTCAACTACCTTCATTTGTAAAGACTTTAAAGCAATGGAAAGCAGGTGTGGCGACAATACCTGGAGGCAGAGGCAGGACTGTGAGCAAGTTCAAGGCCAGCCTGGGCTACAAGATGAGACCTGTCTCAAAAGAAAAGAAAAAGCTCAGTGGAGTGCTGGTATGATGCTTGTCTAGCATGCACGATGCTCCAGGTTGATCCCCAACACCACACAAACTGAGTGTGGCAACATACTCCTTATCCCAGCACTCATGACGATCAGAAGTTCCAGGTCATTCTCAGCTACACAGGGGTTAGAGATACTAAAGGGTGGGTGTATGAAAATTTGGTCCAACACACCCTTCCAAAGGAGCAAGTGAGGCTACGGCAGAGGTAGCTCCTGTCTTGTTCCAGGCTCTCTCGTTCCCGAGGGAAGCAGGATGGATGTTGCTGGGTGTGAGGATGAACAATGATGCTGTTTGATTCTAGTCTGCTCTATTTACCCTGCAGAACAGAGGAGCTCATTGTTTGTTTACATCAGTGAAGGTTGCTATGAAACAGCTGTGATGATAAAGATGGGTTCTTAGTGACAAGACAGTAAGATCAGTAAGTAGCTCAACTTTCTGTTCATTAAAACCATACCACTAAAGCAGTGGTTCTCAACCTGTGGGTCACAACTCCTTGGGGGATCAAAAGACCCTTTCACAGGAGTCACATATCAGATATACTGAGTATCAGATATTTACATTACGATTCATAACAGTAGCAAAATTAGTGATGAAGTAGCAATGAAAATAATTTATGACTGGGGTTGACCACAGCATGAGGAACTATATTAAAGGGTCGCAACATTAGGAAGGTTGGGACCCACTGCACTAGAGTCTCTGAGACAAATTATTATTATGAGACAATGAATATTCAGTATGGATATTACAGTTATTTAATCAGAGAAAATGACTAACAAGGAAGAATGTAACTACATTTAGACTAACAAAGCTCCTTGGAAGGCTAGAACCTCTAGGATGCATTATTGTAACCTCCCAGAACGCCTAGCACTGTGGGCTCTTCAAAGCTTATACTGAGTTAAAGAATATGAAAAATTCCTAGGTGACCTTTTTTTTTTTTTTAATTAACGCCAGCTTTTTGCTCAAATCATTTATTTCTAGCTTGTACAAAGGAAGAAATCCAAACTGCCTGACCTTTCTAGGTCCAGATGACCACAGAGAAAGCTCCAAACTCCACGCCTATCTTCTATTGCACAGGATGAAGTGGCTGCTGAGGTCCCGAAGCAGGCAGTTTACAGACAAACGTCTAACTCGGGGTCTAATAAACATCCCATTTTATTTACAAAGCGTTAAAGCTTTAGCAAGAAGTCCCCAAGGCCGAGTCTCTCTCACCCTGTACAAAACTACAGAACATTTTAAGGAACAGAGTGGAGAGTCAGGGAAGGCAACAGAAAGAAGAGAAGAACATACATATATCACACAGATCAAAAAAGCCCAGCTCAAAGTGGACGGGAGGTTCCAGAAGCTGACGAAAAATTCCAAAAGCATAAATAATTATTAGGAGCTGCTGCCAGAGACAGCCTGGCAGGGTCTGAGTGATTTCTCAGTAGCCAGTTAATGGAAATGGACACAGCACTAGCATCCGATGGAGGAAATCAAGCACTTCGCACAGGGAAGGCAGAAAGCCTGGGTCCGTTGCACACTACCCGCGGGGTGCTGTCCAGAGACAGGACATGGATACAATACCTATAATTACGAACATGTCCTGTGAGCCACTCACCACTCACAGCCACTGGTCTCACTCACACCTGAGGCAGCACCGCACTGACTCTGGAGACTCCCTGCAGGGTGCGTCCACTGTCACTTCTACCCCCAGTATAAAGGAGTCAAGAGGCTGGGCTACCTGAAGGAGCCTCCACCAGCTGATAGAGATTCACAGTTAGCATAGCATTTAACCCCCGCCCTTCAATGCCGAAAATATGACCCAGGGCAAGCCAAACGCTATTGCCAGAGACGACACGAACTAACGAACGTCTTCCACACTTGGCTTTCTGACTTTGGATTTTCAGAAAATTTCAAACACTTATTGTACATACCATCCAATTTGCTATTTTTATTAAAAGAACAGCAAATGCAGAGAGAGCCAGGGTGAGAAAGAGAAGGGTAAAAAAGCTAAGCAACCTTTCACAGAAAGGAAGTGTGTGAAAACACAGGGCTGGCTCAGGAAGAGAGACAACTATGGCTGGTGCGGACAGGTTCTCCACAGGCAACGACTGAACGAGTGAACCTCATCTTTGATTTGAAGCGAGCTGCTGCGGCTTTGATTTTGGGGGTTTCACATCAGTCCTCGAATTGGTGCCCCACCCCCATGATACAGAAGCTTGTGGAGAAACACACCTTGCTTTGTTTCTAACTCTGAAAGTCAACACGGATAAAGTAATACACAAACTACTGATGATCCTTAGCTGGAGATGGGTAAAACTAATCATATCCAAAAACCATGATTCTCAAACAGATCTGATACTGGAAAACATGCAATGCAAGGGAAACCCCAGCTTCTCTAGAGCCCAGCCTCCCGAGACAGAATGACAAGGGCCTTCTAGATTTCTTCCTTTTCTGCCAATTTGAAATCTTTCAAGCACTCGCTTCTCTGTCCAACCTTTATACACAATATAGAAATACAGGAAGCATCTGAGAAGGGGAGTTATGAATGAAAGAAACAGAAAATGCACCGGGTTTCCTAGGATACTGGTAGCGAAATTTCAGAAAAGAACAAGTCACAAGGACATGCATTGAGGATGAAGGCAGCAGGAGATGGGAATGACATGTCCAAAGGATGTGACTTCAACAGTCAGGTGAACAAAACACGGGCATTTTTCACCAGCAACACAACCAAGTGTGAAGCTGAAGTGAGTCAGATCTCCCGACGTCTTCACGCATCCTCATTCCTGAGAGCCTATTTGGACTTATGCTTGAAAGGGAAGGCAGGGACCTGTGCTCTTCTTCCATAATTCACTTCTTCATTCAAACATAAAATCCTCCTTCCACCTCCTGGGTGGGAGGCAGAGGCCTTTGTTTTCCATCAAGCCAATCTCAAATGACTGGCCGCACTGTCCAAAGGCTACCTGACGACAGCATGAGAAAAACGATGAGCTTCACCGTCTTCATAGCAGTTCTGAGATCGCTCCTCCTGCTAAAGAGAGAGACACGGAAGATTTCCTTTAGTATCACAGGCACACATGGGCCAAGAATGCCCCCCTCTGAAGTGCATAACCCAGCTCCCAGTCACTCTTCACGGAAGCAACCGTCAATCTAAGGTTAAATCCCCAACCAACACTGTTTCAGTACTGTCCCAATGTGTGTGTAGGGAATGTAAATGGATGAGCCTCTACCCAACCTAGGCAGATAACCAGGTTCTCAGGCAGTCACAACAGACAAAATAAACTCCAGGGTACCAACCCTTTCAATCTTTCATATATTAGACTAATCAGTCCCTAAAAAATAACAGTGAACAAGACATCCCTGTCCAAGCCCCACTGTTCCTTAAGTGACATTTTTATCTGCTTGGAACCCCAGATAGCATGCGCTGTTGATGAAAGCTACTATCTGTGTGTCTATGCACCGAGAACTGGTAAGTGACTAAAATCCTAAATAGTAAGATCAAATAAACACTTCCCTGATGATTCCATAGAAGCTGTTCACTTCTGAGGGACATCTTTAAATGGGCTGCTGTGAAATATTTACTAGGAAGTACGAACAGAGAACAAAGTGAAGAAAAGCCTCCTGGGTGTAATTTGAATGAGGGACTACACGATGCTTGGAGTTTAAAATGGTGAGAATTAATCACATAAGTACTGAAAGAAAAGTATTCATTCACAAAGTTGCTCTGAATGCTATTTTTAAAATGAAGTTCTAATAAAAATGAAAACTTGACAATAAAAACACTAACATTTGCTGAGAACAGACTGTGAGATAAGGACAAGATACAAGCTCTCTACTGAATGCTACATAATCTCAAATGCTAAATTTGAATGCTGTATCATTTCAAACGCTATATAATTTCAAGATATGCTTGCATTTCACAAACATACTTTTCAAATCTCCTTCAGTATAAAATATAAAGAATTTCTGAGTGGATTTAAAACTTAAGAGAATACAGTCTACTAGACTCAGCTCACTTACTTCCTGTTGGTTTCACTGACTGCTTCCATAGGCACCCTGACCAACTGAGTATTCAGTTTACAAAAACACAGCACCACCATTTTAACCATTAATCATGATGGAAAAACGTGGTTTGATCACAAATTGACACTCAAGACAACGAATGAGCACCTTCTACTGTACAAAATAGTTCACGTTTCCACACTACCCCCATTCTTATGAAAGGTGTGCGTGCATATTTACACATATAGGCTTACTAAGGCATTAGGCAACAAACTAAAATCAAAGCAAGCAATACTATGAGCAAGGTAATATACGGGAAACCAGCTCTGCAAAGGCCTGCAGCATCTGGCCCATGGAAACAATATTTAGCTGCATCATACAGGAAATCTCCAGCAGTACAATATTAAGAAAAATCCAGCTTAAGATGAACAGCTATTTTTGGTCTCTCTCAGGAGGAGCCTAATTCAGGATGGCCAAAGAGAACATCCTGACATGATTTCCAATCCTTCATTGGTCAGCTAGGTGGATCACACAGAATGAGACAGAATATTCAGCTAAGCATCAAATCAGTAGAATCCCTAAGTTAGCCTTTGAGTGACTATTTCTACAAAGGAGGACAAGAGAAGGAGGAAGAGGACAAACGTACAGTTCACTCACTATTGGGCATTTAAAACCAAGGTTGTTGTAAGTAGTTAGAGGGGCGGAGCTCCAGGAGGCAATGAGTAATTGTAGAGTGGTCCAAGGTAGGGCAATCTGCGTGGTGCCCAATTCCCTAAGAGCAGCTCTTCTGCCTACTCTGGCCATGTTCAACCTACATATCCAGGTGTACATCAGCCAGTGGTGTCTAGCAGGGGCAGGGGGATTATATATGTGACAAACCAGTCCTTGGTGGCATTTTGCTGAGGTTTGCTGCTGGGGAACCTTAGGTCTTGGCTTGTGTTTTCATCTCCAGCTCAGAAATAGAGTTAAGGGAACAGAAACAGGTATCAGACAAACGGTACCAGCACGCCTGTCCCTGGAGAGTCCTCAACTCAGGGTGACCCTTACCAGGCTTCCCTCCACACAAGAATCCTCGGGTGCGGTCCTCCTATGCTAGTCAATACTAATGAGCTGTGCGAGGTGAAAGAATGTTCAGTAGCCCCAGATCCCAGATTAACAGCGGTCCTTCCCATTTCCCCCGAAATCCTAATCTCCTGTTTGGAACATACAACAGTTAAAGGTAGCTTTTTGTTAGAGTAATCAAGGTTTACAAGATGCATTCAGTGGTGACTGGTCAGTTGCCCACATTCATACACAGCTATCATTCATCCAGCTTGAGCGTTCCCCAGCTTACCCTACAATTCTGCCTACAAAGATGTGACACTAATGCTAAAGTTACCCAGTGAAGGGGTCCACAGGAATGAACCTCTAACACGATCTTCGGAGTAGACTGGTGTGTTTCTGCAATGCCTAGAGCAGATCCTGGGGCCTTGTACATGCTAGGCAGATGCTAACATGGACCTGCACCCCCAAACCCTGGGCTAATTTTCAAAGAGATCTCTGCTATAAGCATTCCAAATGAGTTTTATTTCTTAATAGCTGGCGGAAAACAATGGCTACATTCTATCTTTTATTGAAAATCTCTGAAGTATCAAATAATGTGAGTTATTCATGAAAATATCAGTTTTCCTCAGAGGCCCCTGGAGGGCCACAAACAAATCAACAGAAGGTCCAGCTTCTGCTTGCTCAAGACCCTCCAAAAACCACTGTGTTATTGAATGAAGCCCTTACTTCAACCAAAGAACCCCACATAGAAGTTATGATAGTTTATCCTGAAAGCTGATATTGTGGAATTATCTGGGACATCCAGTGTCACCACTCACAAATCTGCAGCCTCACAAAGTTCTAAACTACTGAACCATCATCAGTAAAGCCACAGGCAACCCTCTGAAGGCCTTAGAACCATGCCTCAAGATCCCTGCTGAGGTTTTGCTAATGATCCTGCTCCTTAGCACTGTGGT